TTCCCGAATCGAATACCGAACAACCAAACGGTAATGGATTCTTGTATACCAAACGGTTCGGTAAAAAGCATATCCAACTGTAGACCAAGTCTGTTGGTAAAAGCCTGCATGATAACCATCAGGACCAGGAGCCTTAAACGCTGCCATATCAAAAAGAGCTTGTTTAATGTTCAAGTGTGAGAAAGGTTTGTTTACATAGAGCCAATCTGATTGCTGTAAGCAAGGGAATGCCCTCTCACTCACAGCACTGGCAGGTGAAGCACCATCCTCTGTAAAAAGTTGGACAAAATAGCTGTATATGTGGTTCATGATTAGCCCTCCATCCGTTAGCCAAGTTCCTTGAGCATCTTGTAATCTAAGTATCATTGAATTCGCCTTCCTCGCTGCAGTAACAGCATGATAGAACCTTGTGTTGCGATCACCAGAGGTAATCCACTCTTTCCTTGATCTTTGAAACCAAAGCAAATCTTCCCGTAATAGGATTTCCTCAAATTCTTTTTGTAGTTTTCTGTTAAGCTTAATAAGGTCAGGTTTGAACTTGGTAGCAAAGCTATGTTGTACCCCCTCGATCCTAGCCAGGGCCCTCTTTTTGCGGTGGAAAATATTGCCAAAGGTGTCCTTATTCCATGTTTGGAGCTTGGCTGCTAAGCCCTCTTTGTTCTGATTTAAGTCACTTTTTGAATCCCAGTTGTTACCTACGAACTGGAGGAAGTCAGGATGGGATGCCCAAGATGAATTATACTTGAACTTATTGTTTATGCGAGCTGTCTTAGCCGGGGAAGTCCGAATAAGTAGGGGGGCATGGTCAGAGCTTACAATTGGTAGATGCACTACCTCTGCATCGGGAAACTGGATTCTACAGTCCACATTGCAGATAGCACGATCAGGGCGAGCTCCTTTGAAGGATGATTCGCTGAGTCCTTTACGCCAAGTAAATTTCGATCCTATGTAACCAAGATCAATCAGCCCCTCACTCGAAAGCCAGTTGGTGAAATCTGCACATCGAGCAGACAAGAACCTAGTTCTATTCGATACTTCCATACTGCTAACAACTGAATTATAGTTTCCTATTGATAGCCAAGGGCCCTGCAAGTGAAGTAAATCATGTGAAAGATTAGAAAACAAATCCTTCCTAAGAAAAAATTTTGGGCTGCCATAGACAACCGACAGGTTCCATGTTTGTGAATATAAGTCAGTGACTTCAAGAACAACGAATTAGGGATGCGTGTGGATGATGTTAACCGAAATGGTGTCCTTCCAAAACACCCAAATTCTTCCGGAGAAGCCCACCGCTTCGATCCTTAGCCATTCATCAAAATCTAAACTAAAACAAATATCATTGGCTTGGCTCCCCGATACCCTTGGTTCAAGGAGGCAGGCAATGACAGGTTTAAACTCAAGAAGGTGCTCCTGGAGGGTGCGGCTATAACACCCTCAAACTAGACAGTGCTCTCTCGGGAAACATCTCTAAGCCAACATTAAATCATTTTAGAAAATTAGCAAATAATTCTAAGTAAAACCACTCCAACACGTAAAGACTACATACATATACTAATTTATTCAAAATAGGGGTATGACTACATATGTGTGTGTGTGTGTGTGTGATACCAACGAACTCAGCTGAAGGATTCCTACTCAATCAATAAAGCTCAATTCTAGGGGCACTAGACACATTCCAAGAAAGACAAGATTCAATGTCAAGATTACTCAAGTCACAAGACAACAGATTACAGTGGTATATGTACATAGCCAAATGCTCATTATCAAATCAATATCCAACCGTACTCCAATCCAACCTTTATACCAAAAGTCCAACATGTACACCAGTCCAACCTTATCAACCAAAGTGAAGCCTAAGCTTCTTGCCACCAATACAAATGGAGTCAAAGCTCCTAGCCACCGATACAAATGGAGCAAAGCTCCTAGCCACCGATACAATGGAGTCAAACCTCTCAAATTCCACCAATCCAAATATACAATATATATTCAAGGAAGTGTATAAATATATCATCAAGTCATTCAAGAATCAATTGATATCAAGGAACAAGGATTCATAAAGGAATCACAATCCAAACGGGGATCAAAGAGTTCACAAAGTACTGGAAAAGACTTACAATGCATCAAAGACCAAACAACAATGCACGGGAAACCAAAGAGTGCATTATGGAAATCAATCAGGACCTCATGGCCATATGCCACGGGGATATGATTCCCGCGGGGCACTACCGCACGAAGGGGGCGGGCATGTGCAACGAGAAAACAACACCGGCCACACACCCCAAATTCTAAATACAGAAAACTCAAAGAAATGCGTAAGTGAATTCAAAATATTAAACTCAATGGGGTGTTACAGCGGCGAAACGTTTGTGACATCGCACCTTGGCAAGTTCCAAACAAAAAGATTCATCATAAAAAAGGAGGGTAGAAAGAAATCTCAACTGAGCAACCGGGGATCCGCAACCAGGCCAATCTGGCCTTTAACACTACCATTTTCATCCATAACGTCTTTTGGATAACGTAATCAGAAAAATCAAGCCCTTCGTCCGGTGGGACATTGAGAATGGGTGATTTAGCCGGCGGTGGTGACTTTAAACCCGGGTCCTTGGGTCTGTGATACACTGTGGATCTAAGGGCTGTATTTCCTTTGGTTGTGCCCCTAACCACAATGTGCTCATCCTTCGCCGCCGCTCTTCGAGGGGTGGAAAGTTTGCCTCCTCTTCAACTGGACAAGACGTTGCGTGAAGTCTTGATCTCCATGGGACGGGAAGAGGGGGAAAGTGCAACCTCTATGTTCTCATAGGATGTATAGCCCGGTTTTGGGATAGCCGAGGATTCACCATGCAGCCGTGCATGGGGTTGGTGTGTAGCAGTCGTTTCTGCCTCAAGCTGTTCCTCCTCAATATCCCCTAGGGGGCAAAACGGTATTGAAGAGAAGGTTGTTGTACACAATCTGGTTTTTGCCTCCTAAGGGATTGTTTGGTGGTTGGAGGTTCTTCGCAGGGTGCTGCTTCTGTCCAACCTATCTAGGACGTCTACGATCCTTCCTCATTACAAGCATCCAGGACCCAAATTTTTCCTTTGGTGGAATTCTGGGAATGACTGTCTTCTTATACAGAGCCGGCTCATATTGCTCATCCTTTCGTGGTTCCTTTTCTCCGTCAAGATTCATCTGGTTGTCTTGCTCCGGCCTGGGACTTGTTGTACCTTGGCCGCATTGTTCCTTCCTATGACCATACATTCCACATTTGAAACAAACTAGATGCACTCCCTCATACTCCACTTCGTAGACATCGCCTTATATCCCAAATTTTGCAAGTAACGGCTTGGTGATGTTGATCTCAATACATATCCTAGCAAACTTCCATCTTGATACCAAACTCGTATCACCAACTTTCACTGCCCAACCGATTCTGTCACCTATTCGCAGTAATATGTCCTCATCAAAATATTCTATCAGGATGGCAGGTAACCTAATCCAGGCCAGAATCCTCTCTGTTGAATCCCTCTGAGTGTTGAAGTTGGGTGTCCACTGCTGAACGGTAAAATCGACCATGGGCCTTCGAACCTTGCGAAATCGTAATCCCTTTGGGATTCGAATCTTGATAGATAGTAATCCTGGTGAAGATCGATGAGTTCCACAAGTGCCTTTGGCTTCCATAGCGCTTGTTGCCGGCGCAAAAGGTAACTATATCCCACAGTTCTGCCCAGAAGTCAGATTATGAGTGTGCGCCAAGGTCGCGTTATCCGTTCTTTGTCTTCTTTCGTGATCTTGATTCTTGGACAATCAGGGTCCTCTTGGTTCGCCATCGCTTCGTCATCCGAAGCTATTTCTTTAGGGAGATCTTCGTTCTTGTAAGGAGAAAGTTCTGCAGATTGGCTTTGTAAGTCTTAGTCGCCGATAGGCTCGCTTTCGCCGCAAAAGGAGTATCTCGGGAACAACTTCCTATAAGAGATCAATGGTCATGGCCTACGTTAGAGATCCATTCCGCTTTGACTTTTTGGTGCTACGTTCAAGAAGATCTTGAACTTTCGGCGGCCTAGTTCTTGCTTTCGGCGACTCCGTCAAAGAGAGTGTTTCTTCCATCGTGATTTGCATGTATATTCCTAATTAATTTTTCTATATTCACAATTTTTGAACTCTATATTTCACAATTACAAAACTCTATATTTACAATTTCATAATTATATATTCACAATTAAAGAATTTTATATTTACTCGCGGTTGTTTCCAATAATTGGTTGTGAATATTCAATTCTACAATTGTGAATATAAAGTTAAAAAATTATGAATCTAACCCAAACTCACCTTGCAAAGTAACCCCAATCCATGGCATAACTATTCAAAGGAGGGGACGCGGTTGAAAGCTGAGCGGTGAACACAACCTCAACTCAATCCAACTCAACCTGGGAATATTATATTACTTTCATGTAAAGCAAAACACCTAAAATTAAGGATAGATGGGATAACGTGTACTTGTCAAACTAAACAAACACGAAAGCAGTTAGTTACCAGGCAACAACTCAACTCTACTCATCTCTACTCATCTCTACTCTGACTGAGAGACAGACAGATATGGTCAACTTTGAAGCTAAGAGCATCAAAGCACGTGACAGACAGACAGAACAATTATGCACCATTCACTCACCCAACTCACTCACATGCCATGCCTCCTTTTGCCCACAAATATCAACAATATGACAGATCAAAAGTATAAAGCAAATCACTGGCAAAGATGCCAAATCTGGGCAAATAAACATCATCTTTCTTATTCATTCAAACCCTCCCATGTTTAGGATGGATGGGTTAAAATACATTAATTAATATAATAATATTAATATTAATACAAACCATCATACATTCTACTAGTATTGCTGTAAGTAAAATGACCAAAACTATGGAGATTGCAAGCAAAAAAAAGATGGAAGAAAAGAAAGGTTTTGTGTCAGATCAAAACCAAAACATGACCCTCCTCCCAATCTTCAATCCTTCCTTCTTTCAACTTGTAGATCTCCCATTACACATCCACTCATCCATTCTTGCTGTTTTGAGCAGATTGAAAACTGCAAATCCACTTCTTCATTGGACCCATCATCCAAAAAAGCTGTGTTTTGTGTTGTGTTGTGTTTCTTTTATTCTTTTTCCTCTAACCTGACAACAACCAAAACCAAAAACTACCCATTTCTTCCTATTTTCCTAACCTTAAACTACCATTACTATAGTCTACTATCATAACTTATCCATCCTATTCTTCTTTTATTTTTGCAAATACTATTTATATATCTTCAAAATCACTCGTCACCTCTTTTGCAGAGGCTTCCTGAAAGAAACATATGATGCTACTGCTAATAGATGGCTTGGGGCTTTGGTTATCAGTAGGTCCATTCCTGAGGTAACCGCAGCTCTTGGCTGACAGAGCACGCTGGCGATGGCCTCAGATTGCGCCTCTGTTGTGCCTGCACTCGCCCATTACTCCGTTGGTTCTTCAACCCAGCACCGTCTAGAACAGATTAAAGATTGATGGAATAACGAAATAAGTTCATGATTCTTGGGTATACGTTAAAAATGAGTCTGAAAAATGTAACAGAAACAAAGTATATACCATGAAGATGAGTGTATCTGGGTTGAAGAAGCTGAGGCTGATGGCCCCGAGCTTCCAAATTCAAGTTGAGGGCATGGACAACCTTCTCCGGCAGCAAAACTGTTGAGCACACTGCATTGTTATCATACCAAATATTAGCAAATAGCCACTACAAATTAAGCCTTATTAAAACTTGATTAGCAACTGGACTTGTATTCTATTTTGGTATATTCGATTCACTTCATTGCCTTTCTTGGTTTGATACATTGATTAGTTTGAGCCAAATAAGCAATAAGCAACTTTATCCTCGAAGATTAACTACGAGTTTTTCTAGTCACTCAAAAATCTGACTCCAAAGGATGGCCTATTAACTTTCTTGATTTGATAGGTTTGAGCCAATCAGCTATGCACCAACAAGACAAGATTAGATTTACCGAGTAGTGACTGCGAGTTTCCCTCACGAAACAAAATGAAATACAAATAGGAACATATACTTTGTATCTATCAGGTCAGATAATATTAAACTACTGATTCTAATTTCTAAACCACAGCTCAGCCCAGAACCAGTTTCCATGTGAACAGCAGAAAATGTAAACGAGTTTCACACTAACTACAGTCCAAAAGTCAACCAGAGTCTCCATTATCAACACCAAACAAACAGTTGAAGAAACACTACTTTTCAAGAATTCAGACAATTCAACAAAAATTAACACGTAAATTGGTATGGACACGGTTGACCGACCTGGCTTTTTGCGGGGCTCGGCAGGGGTTCCCACTGTTCTGGGGAGGAAAACGCCGGTTCCGGAGCACTCCCTTTTAGCACCACCTGGATTTCCAATGAACACGGCTCTCATGCCTGAGCCACGGCAAGGCTGCTGTAGAGACTGTTGGGGGGTAGGCCAAGAAGACAGATTAGCCTGTGGGTGGTTGCTGTTCAGAGATGGAATCAAACCCACCCTGCCATTCCTACCCTGCATCCCCATCTCGTGTTGCTTCAACCTTTGAAGCTGTGACAGAAAATAATTTTAGGAAGATTAGTCAAGAAAACCCAACAAGAACAAGTGAATGAATACGTTATTTCAAGATTTTCAGGAGATTTTACTTGAGCCATGTGTAATTCTTGATAATTCGAGTGCTGGGGAAGTTGATTTGAGTTCATCAAGCCTAGGCTCTGGGGCATGGAGGTTTTGGGAGAAGGAACGCCGACTGGGCTAGCATTTCTGGGAGGAGCCCAGATTCCATTTTGGTTGGGGTAAAGCCTAGCGGCGGCGGCTGATTCCTCCATCATCTTCATTCTTGCAACATCGCCGGCGGCCGCAAAAAGCAGATCCCAAGCTCCCCCGTCGGCCTTTCCGGGCAGTTCCGCCGGCAGGGGAGGAGAGGAGGCACGGGAAGAACAGTTTGTACTTCCACGGCTCGAAACCTGGTTACACCCCAACCCGCCACCTAGAATCCCGCACAGCGTTGATTGCGGCGAACCAGACAAACGCCACGCCTGAAAATCCCACCCATATAAAATTCGACAACAAAAGAGAATATCTCTGGTACAGAAATGAACAAAAACGAAACTCACAAAATACCCACCTTCCCGCAATTATATTCAAAATCAGAGTCGTCTTCCAGAGTGGAGCGCGCCATTTTCCTGGTTAACCCAGAAATGAAATCATCCTCGTCACTCTCCGTCTCGTTCACCGACTCAACGGGTGAACTCGGAAACCCGCCGTACAGAAACCCAGTGCCGGGCTCACCCTTCTTGAGGTCATCATCGGCGAGAAACTGCGGCGGAAGCCAAAACTCACAGTCATCCAAATCCTCCGCCTTAGACGCCATGAAAAAGCAAAGCGCAGTTTTCTGAGATTATACGTGAGAGATATCGATTCAAGGGAGATTTAAAGAGCTTTAAAAAAGCAAAGGGTTGCTGGTTCTTTAAGGTATAATGATGGCTACCACTCCTTTGATTGCGCTCTCCGGTGGGTCTGGAAAGCAGAGGGCCCAAAGAAAAAGATGAAAATTGGGTTTTGGTTCGATGGGAAGAAGAGAGAGTGAGCCGGGAGTGGCGTTGTATGTATATATCAGTATATATAATATAATTCGCCATCCAAATGGAGGCGCCACTTGAAACCCTAGACGGCGGTTAAAGAGGAAGTTTAATTTTATGGTTGACCTGTGTCGTACAAATACCGCAAAAACTTTCATAATTAAAAATAAAAAAAATTAATAATAATCTTTACGTGTGAGGAATACTTGATAAGATCATTAGGTTACATCACTCACAAAATAATTAACATACTCTTTAAAATTAAAATAAATAAAAAAAAGTAATACTCCGTATTACTTTTTTCAATTTTAAAGGAATAGTTATAGCGCTACTTGCGTCTTGGGTACACTGTCGCGCCCAGCTGGCACGTGTAACTGAGCGTATAAATATGAATGTTATTTTTTATTTTTTTGTCAGAATATTTTTTTCTTTTTTTTTTTTCTTCTCTTTTCACTCTCTATTTTAATGCACCGAAAACGTCATTAAAAAAAATTAACTCTTGGATATGCTCTTATTTTGTCAAATATATTAGGTACGACACCTTATAAATTCTTTTAAATATAATTGTTGTTAATAAAAGTTGCTCAATATGTGTATCAAAATATATTATGATATTTATGAGAACGAATTGAATTTTATTTATGTGAGATATTTTTACGAAAAAGATATTATTTATTCTCGAATATTAGGTTGGTTTTTTTTTTTTGGGTCAAATGACATGTATCATCTTCACATTCATCTTCTCTAACTTTAATTGTCTTTATTGTAGTTATTGTATTAGTTAATATGATTAAATGTTAACAATTATGACAATTTATGGTGATCATAGTAAAGTATTTACAAGATTTTATTTTTTTTTTATTTTTATTCAATTATAGTGCACTCTTGAGCATGTAAATAGTTAGGAATTTGTCGATCAATTAAGACATATATACTCCGTATTTTATAATTTATATTCTCCATCAATCTCCCTAACAAAACAAATGCATTGAGTAAAATATTTTACACACAACATTACATATACTCTAATTTGTGAATATTTCACTTCACGTGTCATGTCTATAATCCACTAAACACGGTGCACAATGGCAAACAATAATTTGTGCATATACTATCTAATTTACCATATCATCAACAATTTTTCTTTGTATTGTTGGTAAGTAAGGTTTCGATTTTCACGAATTATAACTTGAACTTTAAGAATCCATTTTTAAATTCATGAAGAGATAAATCAAATCAATATAATTTTATGACACTCAATATTAAATTGCACATTTTTACGCTCAAAGAGAACATTCACATTATCACTGAAAACAAGTTTTAAGTGAAACTTCTCATCCACTATATCAATATCATAGGGGAACAATTTTCCTTTATATCATTTTCTTTGATTATAATTAATTTAAGGATGACGAAAATCATTTTTTCAAATAAATCAAACACTCACGTGTGTATTATTAAAGCAATTAATGAGCTTGTGAAAAGAGACTGGAATCGTTGAATCATACATGTACATTACAATGTAATAAAATAGTTGTGTTAATTGAATGGTGACATATTTTAACATATACGGAGTATTAGCTAGTCTCCACGTGCCAAATTATCCACCAATTGACGTTTGTCTCTTCGATTCTTCTTAAAGGTTGATTGCGTTGAATTAATGACATATGTATCTCATCTTGTATATCATAAATTAAAAACAAAACTCCATTGTATATTATAAAGGCAATCAATGAGTTCTTGAAAAGAGACTAGAATCGTTGAATCAAACATGTATATCATGAAGTGATAAAATAGTTATGTTAATTGACTCATGACGTATTTTAAGTGCACAATGGTCTCGATCTACATGCCAAATTACCCATCAATATACATTTGTCTCTTAAAGATTGATTGCGTTGAGTTGATGACGTGATCACAATTTTTGTAATTAATTTGAATAGCATATTTTTCTCTATCTCTTATATCATAAACTAAAAAGTAAATTAAAAAACAAAACTCATATATTATAAAGGCAATCAGTGAGTTCTTGAATAGAGACTAGAATCATTGAATCAAACATGTACATCACGAGGTGATAAAACAATTGTGCTAATTAAATGTTGACGTATTTTAAGTAGAGGTGTCAAAACGGGCCAGCCCGGCCCATATGCGTTGGCCCGTCACGGGCGGCTGGAAAACGGGTCAAATCCGACCCCGCCCGTTTTCCAATACGGGTTGGGAATCATGGCCCAACCCGTACACAACGGGCTGGCGGGCTAAACGGGCCAGCCCGCCAGCCTGTTTATTTTTATATATTATTATTTTATTAATGTTGTAAAATTTGTGTATAAGACAAAAGTTGAACCTTAGACCTCTCATATAATAATTAAGCTTTATTCCAATTGAACAACATGTACTTTTGAAGCAAATTGCATGTATAAACATAAATAAGTATATATATGAACAATGCACACACATAAATTATAATCAAGTTGTGATATATAGTACACATAATCACATATACACACATTAACTTATAAAGTTTATAAAATATATACAATAAATAAATTTTATGTAACTATATAATTATATTAATATTTACATAAAGTTATAATTAATCATATAAATAAGCTTGTAAACATAATATGATTAATTTAACTATATATATATATATATATATATATATATATATATATATATAAAATTAAATTTATAATTATTTATCCGTTATGTTATATATAATTTATATCATGATAGTTTATTAAATGTTAATCAATAAATCAATTACATGATCATGATTCATAAATTATATAAATATATAATTATAAAACATACCGTATGGATTATGAAAACATATAATGTTTGAAAGTAATTTATATGCATATATAATCATACAACATATGAGCAATGAGTAGTATTAGACTAGTTGGTTATTAGTAAATAATAAAGTAAGTATAAGAGTAGGAGGTCATGGGTTCAAGTTTGTTGCAAACAAGTATTTAAAGTTTAAATCAATTAAATTAAAAATATATTTAAATATAAAAATAAAATAATGTAGGTTAAACGGGCCAACCTGTGTAACCCACGGGTTGGCCCGTTTGAACCCGTATAACTCTCGGGTTATACGGGTCGGGCCGAAAAGTGTGTGGCCCAACCCACCTGAAAAGTGGGTTAAACGGGCCCAACCTGACGGGTTGGGTCCATTTTGACAGCTCTAATTTTAAGTGCATATTGGTCTCCACTACACGTGCCGAATTACCAGCCAATTAATTCTTATTAATTAGATTGTGTTAAATTGACATAATCAGATTTTTTTATCTCATCATAAATCGATATATATCAAAACTAATCATATTCATATCAAGTAAGATATAATTTCAAGAATAACAAAGCACTCTCGTATGTTTATCTTATCTATTGTAGTACGTTTGAAATGTATATTGGTAGTGTAGAGTAGATGGATGGTATTAGGTAACCAAAAAATTAAATTATAATTCTCTGAAATGATAAGTGAAAGTCGCAAGTTAAGACGTCGGTGTGGTAGTAGGACGTCGGTGTCGAGAGGGAGTTTTAAGTTGTTAGTTGTAGCCAGTTAAGATGGGGACACCGGACACCGCCTGGCCTGCTTCCACTCTCTTCTGGCTTTGTAATCTGACTGACACCCCCACACTTCCCCAGCTTTAGTAATTTCTAGGTCAATATATTTCCCAAAATCACTTTATACTTTGTTTTGTTTTCAATGTACTTTAAGATTATTATAATATAAAATAGAGTTTGTTGGTTTTACGGTCACGGGATAGCCAAACGACGGACCAATACAACCGTAAAGATATTAAGAAAAAAATTGAGAGAAAATATGGATAGAGTAAGGGTGTGTTTGGTTGGTGGGTTTTGCCCATAGGAATGGGTATGAAAGTGATTGTTGTTATTTGGTTGATAGATTTTTAGAACACTACTATGGGTTTCGAATACCCTATCAATTGAAAAACCCATACCCAAATACAATAAGGGTTTCATTCCCTTATTTATTTTCAAGCATTACTATTAGTAACCATTCCCATTCCACCCTATGACCAAACATGTTAAATACTTCCACCAAAACCCATTACCATTACCAAGTATTTGATACCCATTCCAATTCCAATTCCTATGTGCGAACCAAACACACCCTAATTGTATTAGAATTGAATTCAGAACCCTTTACAATGTACCCCGAGGATATTTATACAAAATTCATGAGATTTAATAAAAATGAAAGAAGGAAGAAATTAAAATATCAAACTTAGGAACATTGCCTAAACTGCCATACTTCCTTCCTAATACTGAAAAACAAGACCCCGCGCCAAATCTGAAAATAATCTCCGTTAGATCCCCTCTAAACGCCTGAGTGCTGCACCCGATCAGGAACCCCCACTGACTGCATGCACTGGTCACTCAGCCGAGGCGACCAAGTGGACCACGCGAGTGGACCGAAGCCAGGCTACTGAGGTACGCCTGTCCTCCAGGAACTTAGTCGGACTGCCAAAGTGTCATCATGACTGGGTACCCTACCCGGGGGTATCCATCAGAGTTAATCACCATTTTGATTCCTCAAATGTTTCTCAATTGTTAATGTAGTCCTTAGTTTTTAATTTCAACAAATTTGATCTTCGAATTGTTTAAAGTTTCGTCAATTAAACTCTTTCAAGGACCAAAATGATGATTTCCACATTTTCTTTAAATTTCGTCAATTTGGTCCCAAAATTAAAATGGTTTAATTGACACAATTTTAAACAACTCAATGATCAAATTGGTAGAAATTAAAACAAAGAACTACATTAATAATTGAAAAACAATATAATTGAGGGACTAAAATGTTGGTTTTCCTATAAAATATAAAATCACCTCTTAATTTTGGACCATGATTTGCATCTAGTGCAAGAATTGTTTTTAGTAACATATTTCGCAATTTTAAAACGGCAAAACATATATTTATATTAATTCAGATATGCATTGAGACAAATGTTACTGTAATTTTTTATTTTTTATTTTTGTTTGGGGAAGTGTTTCTATAGAGT